TTCAATCCTTGCTCGAGGACCCCCCCCCTAAATCCCCCCGCCATACCCATCTCCCCAGGTCCGCTGCGCGCATGCTGATCCGCGTGTCGCGCGACTACCTGGCCTGATTAGACATTCGGCTCAGAGGCCTCAAGGGCCCCCCCTTATTTTCTTGCAATTTCTCTCCCCCAGGTCCGCCGCGGGCATGCTGATTTGGGTGTCGCACGAAAACCTTTGCCTAAACATACGTTTTACTCATTTTTGATAAGGGACCCCCCCTAAAATTTCCCGCCGTTCCCACCCCCCAGGTCCGCCGCGCGCATGCTGATCCGCGTGTCGCGCAACATCTCCAAGTTCCCCGCGCACGTGGTGCCCATCCTCACCTCCACCGTCATCGAGTGCCAGCGCTCAGGGCTGCGCAACACCGCCTTCGAATACGCGTCCATGTTAATGCGCCCCGAGTACCGGTGAGTTGGGACCTTACAGAAGCCTTTGGAATTCGGCACCCGAACTGGCGATACTTTGGCGCTCATGCGGCCAGAGTACCGGTTGGGCGAAGGTACTGGCAGAAATGTTTCGACGGTGACTGCGATACTCAGAGTTCCTGTGACACTTAGAGTATTGGAGTTTTGGAGTTTGGGGAAAGTGGATATGGGGTGGCCAGATTGTCGTTTTCAAGGTCCCAGAAAGCGGGAAGCCCAGACTTGAGGAGCCACGGTAACCTCTGCGAGGTCGCTCATTCAACTTTCCCCGCAAAGAAGGTAACGTCGGTGGGACTACACGCGGAAAATGTCTGCGTGCAGCGTTGGTACTAGCTCTCTGAGGATTGGACTGGGTGTTCAACAGTCTGCAAAGGGAGTATCGCAGCCAGGCACGGCCATACCTCCAAAACGTCTCTCACCGTCCCTTGTCTTGTAATGACTCCACGTGGCGTCCGACGTGTCGTACAATGGACACCTTGAATCCCCAAGGGCCAAACCATCTACTCAATCAAGCCCCATGCTTCGGTTCGGGCTTTGAAATTTAATGTATGTGTGTAATCAATCTTCCATCTTTTTCCATAGGGCCTCCATTGCGGCCGCGTACAAGAAGAAGATCGAGGACGTGGTGCGCCGGCGCGAGCGCGGCGACGAGGCCGACGAGCCCGCGGCCGCGTGCCCGCACTGCGCGGCCGCGATCCCGGCGACGCAGCTCGAGTGCCCCTCGTGCAAGAACAGCCTCCCGTACTGCGTCGCCACGGGGCGCCACATGGTGCTCGGGGATTGGACCACGTGTCCCGAGTGCACGTTCCCCGCGCTTGCGAGCGAACTCACCAAGGTACGAAGCGAGTCGTCCGTTCCAGACTTCAAAGTGCTCTCTCTTGGCAATGCAAGTATTTTCCGTTCATTTGCTTTCCCCTAGCTGCGTTTACAATCCTGGCTTTTACAATTTGGGACTTCAAGGGTTTCAGGGTTGAGTTTAAAGTACAGGAGTAGCTGCGGTGTGTCTTTCTTTCCTGCCGAGATGCTTATGCTGACGTCAGCAAGACACACAATGTTCGCCAGCGTCTTGCGAAATATGCAGCGCCCTCCAATGTCACTGGGCTTGTATCAGCGCCCTTGTGCGCGCGCGCACCTGCCACAACGAATTCTCTTTTGCGCACTGTCAACCGGTCCTTTTTCTTTCCAAGCTTCTTTGCTGCTCGGCAACTTTCCAGGATGTAAGTTGCGAGTCCCTGCAAAAGCAGCGGTGGACATGACGCGTGTCCGAATGCGGGATGCCGTCGGTACTGACACGTGTCGTGCGTCGTGAAGGTGCTGGAGCTGGACGGCTGCTGTCCGATGTGTTCCGCGCGGCTGGATCCGTCCGCGCTGCAACTGGTGAGCGGAACGTTCGTTGTCTTTTCCTGTGTTACGTTGTCTCGATAATCCATCGCAGACTGTTGGCGCGCTGCTCCATGCTTGGACCGGGGCCTTTGCGGCTACCTCTCCCAAGACGTTTCGGTTTCTTTCTCTAAGACCACCAAACGGCGAGATTGTTATGGTAGTAATCGTGTGTATTGTTCTGCATCTGTGATTATCCGATCTATTCGCTGTCAGCTCGATATAGTGGATCCCGTCAAGTATCATAGCCCATTTCAAGGCAATGCAGGCTTTCGCAGATCTGACGTTAGCCGCTCATTAAACAACGCTTCGCAAGCTTCAAAGACAAACCCTCGTGTCCATCTCAGGAATATCAGGACCGAAGATACTACCAACTCCAGAGCGAGCGCTGTGTCCTCCCAGAGTCGTCGTGCCACGTGCTCTTACTCTTTTCAGTTCAGTTCGCCGCCTCTTCGGCGCCTCAGACTGGTCCTCTCTCTCTGCAGTTGGCCAATCCTCTGGCGGGCCTCAGGAAGAATGCCTGACGCCCCGTGACGTCAGGATGTCTTGTAAGTTGGCTGCTTCCTGTTGGATAGGCGCACAGCGGGGAAGCGCAGTCACATTCCAAATCCTTCTCTTCAGGTGGGTTGCTTCCCGGGGAATACTTGCGGAGCGCGATCTTGTCACTTTGTTGTACGTAAATAAGCGGTGATCCAGCGAAGATGCATGCTTTTGGCCCAGAAAAAGTGCGATGAGCGGGTTCGTAAGTCGGTCTGAGTTCCCGTTGATCCTGCCGGCCCGATATCCTCATGCTCTGCATACAGTTTGGAGTCTACGTGTCCTGCGCGGCCACTCACATGGCATCTGATCTGCCCGATCCCAATGGAGAACGGTGTTTTTTGCCCAAGTCCATGGCCGCAGCAAAGAACGTGTTGAATCGTTTGCCGAGCGAACGGAAACATGCCTGCACTGAAAATTTTATCAGATGCTGCTCTCAGTACATGATATGTTGCGCCGCCAAGAATCAATGCCAACACCTACATACGTAGCGCGCTCTAAAGAGATGTATTCTTTGACTTGAACCATCGTTACATGAGCACGCGTAGCCTTGTCGGAAGCAAGTTTGAGATCGTATCTGCCATATATAATATTCCGATATTATCTGTGATATGACATACACATTGCCATATATAGCGCGCACTGGTCAAATTTGATCATGATCTACTCACCTCATTTTACATACTACGAAGCCTTACCAAAAACAGTTCGAGCAGCGAGATGATCATTCACATGCAGGCTTGGCGCCGCAGTAACTCAAATTGTTTCATCCTTAGGCCCCTGGCCGCCCAGGGCGGCTAAAAAGTTGTTAACATTTGAGCGCAGAGCCTGGCATGCGCACCGCATGACAATGAGTCGCATGCATGAAAGGGTGTTGTGTGGGCGCACTGCACATGAGCTAGCTGAGCGGAACTTGTGTTGATGCATTTTCCGGTAAATTAAGTTGCAGTTCTTGCTTGAAGACTCAGAGCAAGCCGTGAGAAGCAAATTAATTCACGAGCAAGTATTGCGAGCATGATTCAAAGATATGCCGCCTTAACGAAATCTGATAGTGAGCCATGCATGAGACAAAAGATGGGCTGCTACGAGGGTGAGTCGCGAACTGAACATATCAAGATGTGGAAGAAAAATTGGTCAAATGTATCAATGCTTAGTTAGGCTTGGGAGTTAGTCAAAAGTCTTGCGAGCTGTTGACGGCTATGGCTGGATTAACTGCATGTGTGTCGATTGCCCTTTTGACCCCGGTCTTGTAGAGCGCAAACCTGACTACAAGTAACAACACCCCAGGCGAACTTATGCGAGAAGTTTCATCAAATGCCTAACGCTAACCATCTGATTCTGCAGAAGGCTAGCTAAGTTGGCGCACGCTCTATCAGGATCGGGAACCGAGTCCCTGCCTGCAATCAAAATGCGAGCACCGTATGCAAAAGCTTGTTACTATGGTACAACTGGGTTAGGGACGCTTGACCCAGTGACAAACGAGGACTGCCGCTGCCTCACAGTTTTGACTCCATTCCCCCAACTCGCGCAGACTTCCTACCCCTACGCGTGCAGATAAGTAACCGGTCTTTGCAGACCCCAAGTCTCTACGCGTGCAGATCACTACTCTCCCTACGCGTGCGAATAAAGTAAGCGTGCAAATCAAGTAAAGCGTGCCACAACACTATGCGTGCAAGTAACGTAAAGCGTGCAAGTAAACTAAGCGTGCAATAAACTACTTTCCCTGCGCGTGCAAACAAACTCCTGTCCCTGCGCGAGCAAATAGACTACATTCCCTGCGCGTGCAAAGAAAGCTATAACTCTTCCTACGCGTGCGAAAGTAAGCTCCAAAGGGGTCTTGGAAGTCCCCGTTTTCCTACGCGTGCAAGTCTCCAAACTGGTCTTTGCAGACCATCTATCCCTGCGCGTGCGATTTCTGCAGCGAAGCGAGGGAGCGGGCAGCCAAACTGCGAAGGTCCGGAACAGTCGAGTCTAGTTCTCCTTTCAATTCCTCGTCGCGAAGTGACTATTCCGTTCAGCTCAAGTGACGAGTAGTTCCGCTGCTTCACTGACCCTCTCGGTCCTTGTTTTTGGGCCGTGCCTTTCCGCCCAGGTTAAAACCGCCCATCAAACTGCCACTCGTGCTGCTGCCAGCTGTCGAACTCCCGCTTCCGACCGCCCAGAGCCAGTTACCGAGCGAGGGGCTCGGCGCGCGCATCGGGAAGCTTGCGGTGGCGGCCGCGACAGCGGCCGGCGCACCCTCCGAGTATCCGAACGCGTCCGCTCCCGGGGGGTACGGGTGGTCGAGCGGATCGACTGCGACCGGCCCCCCCGTGAAAACTTCGCGGAACGCCTCGTCGAGGGTCATGTCCCCGGTTAAGGCGGGCGGGAAAAGGCGGTTCGTGGGGTCCAGCTGACCGGGGTAAGGGGCGGTAAACCCGGTTCGAGGAACCGGGGTTTCGTGGGGGGTTAGTCTGGCTGTAATATCGGACGCAGGTAGGGGCAACGGGGCCAGGATCGACGGTAAACGGGCCGGGCGGTTAACCCCCGGAAAACTCGCCGGGATTTGCGAAACCTCCGGGAAGGGAGTCGTGGGTACCGCGGGGGGTGACGTCAGCAGCGACCGGGCGTACTGCGACGCGAAGGTCGGGAGTTCCGGGGCGGAAACCCCCGGGCGGAACGGGTCCGAACGGAAGTTCGGCAGGGCGGCCAGCTGTGGCGGACTGGGGGCCCGCTGGGCGCCCGGCGAGAACGGCCGCTCGCGCTTGGGGATGAGCAGTGTCGCGATTCCACTGGGGGGTTCCGGTGAGGCGCGTTTGCCCCCCCTCTTGGCTGTGCGAGTTTCCTCACGCGCGTCTGGAATGCGGAGGGGGGTGATGTCGATTTCACCGGAACGGGGGGTCGCCGCAGGCCCTGTGGCTGACCCCCGGGAGGTGGTCGGGAGCGGGGGACAGTTGGCGTGCTCTGCTCGGATTGCGTTTAACTGGGCAGGAAGAAAACAGAAAGGATAGGGTCAGAAGGAATCGAAGCGTCGTAGTAACTCCCGTTTCCCTCAGTGCTATCGAAGATGCACAGTGCTGAAAGTTGTCACCGGTTTGTCGCAGACGAAGCTACGGAGGCCGAAAGCGTGCTCCCCAGCTCCCCAAACGAAGACTGCATCGAAAGAACACACTAGTAGATTGTGCGAGAACAGTCAGGCCCCGCACAAGCTGTACTAGCACGACCTCAGCACGGCAATCCGGCGATGGAAAAGAAACTGGATCGAGCGCAAGAACTCTAGAGACCGACGACAGAGACTCCGCGGATCGAGCGCAAGTACTCTAGAGACAGGCAACAGAGACTCCGCGGAAAAGAAAGTCACAAACCCACTATCTTACAAACCCGAAAACGAACCCCACCAACCCAATAACCAAACCCACCTCGTGCCGCAACTGCTGGTTCTCTAGGTACGCCAAATCCAGGCGGCGCTTCATGACGTCAAAGTCCTCTTTGAGCTGGCGGGCGCGCTGACGCGTGCGCCTGTTGTGGAACCAGCTCGCAATCTGGTTCTGCGGGACGCCGAACTCTCGTGCGATAGCCGCGCGCGTCTCTGCAAACCAGGTTTTATACAGGTTTAGCACTGGCTTCCCTTTTGTTACTTCCGAGCTACAGTATCCTATTTTGCTTGTGGCCTTCTTTTCAAAGTCATGTGCAACTGCTGTGTGCACCTTTGTAGGCTAATCTCATCGTTCTGACGTCATCGCTGATCATAGCAGTCGTAATCTAGCGTTTCGCAACGGAGTGGTTGCTTCTCTAACCTTCCCAGATCCCAAGTAGGCTTTCCTTCCCACAGTTGCTAATCGTGCACTTCAAAGCCGTCCTCTGTTCAGCTTCTACTGTTTAACCCACCCTCTTCAAACCGCCCTACACCTGCTGCGGTTCATTGATACCAAAAGCTTTCGGAACACCATTTTTACCAGCTCGAGTTGGCCTAACCAGCCTATCTTAACCCGACCACTCACCCGTCGGCGGCCCGGTCGGCTCCTTCTGAAAGATCCGCTCTAGTTCCTGCACCTGCGCCTCCGTCAGCCGCTTCCGCTTCTCCCCCCCCTCCGGATCCTCCCCAATGCCCCCCCCGGGCTCTCCCCCCCACTCTGGCTGTCCGAAAGCTCCGTCCGAAGGCTCTGCTCAGCCGTCAGACGCGTTGGCGTGGACGCCGTCCGAAAGCCCATCTCAACCGTCGATCTCAACGGCCCAGATGCCGTACGCGGGAGTTGCTCAGTGGGCGGTTTGACCGGCGCCGATGTGGGCACCAGGGGGGTTTTCGGGGACGGCACGCGCGGGGGGGGCTGAGGAACCCCCTGAAGCGAGGTGAGGAGCTCCTCGAGGGCCTCGGGCGATGTGAGCCCCTCGGTGATTTCTGCAGGGTTATGAAGCTGGTTAGCACCGACTTGGAAACCTGAGCTTTAACCCAGGTGGTTCTGCGTACCTTCTTCTTGAACTGGCGTCGCATAGCTCAGTCACAGTGAACCCGCAGAATTCGCCCCCGAGGTGCGGCGAGCCTTGACAGTATTGCAATTGACAGCGGCAATTCAGGGTTTCGATCTTGTTATCTAACAATGCTGTGACCGTAGCCATGGATGAGCAGGCAGCTTTGTTGCTCTTGATCAGCAATCGGTTGATGTGAGCTTTCTGGGGCTGGGCAGCTTGTAAGCTGGCTCACTTGTGGAGCTAGAAGCTGCTCAGGCCTTTACGTAGCACCACCTTCAGTCCGGTAAACTTTTGCAATTCTAGCTCCGCAGCAAAAACCTGTCACTTTAAGGTGCACAGCACTGGAGCCCAACACTGTGGTGCTTTTTGCCAGCTGAGAATGTCATCATAAGGTGAAGGTTGCGGTCGAGGGTGGTCGGTTTCCGAGGAGAACTCCCTTATTAGAAGGAATTTACCATAGGGAACCGAGAAGCCCATGAGAAAACTCACCATCAATGTCCATGCCATGACCACCACTCATACCGAACCCCGGCAGGTCGTCCCACCCCGTGTGAAAAAGCCCGATTGCGAGCTCCAGCTTGACGTGAATAGGCCCGCAGCTGGCGCCAGCTCAGCGGTGCCAGTGTGCGCGCAGTGCCGAGGATGGTGTGAACAGGCGCCACTTTCTGTTGGGCGCGTTTTTTTGTATGCAATGTTGCTAGATTTATTCAAGAAAGGTCATCCAGTGGGCAGCTGACAAATGCTGGCAACACGCTGAGCATATATGAGTAGTGGGCATAAGAGGCGAAAGCAGTCCCCGGGCTTTCTGCGCTTTTGAAATCACAGGCGTCTGTGAATTGGCGTGGGTTTTGCGCGCTAGACTGGACAGCTGAATGTTGCAGTCCGGAAAATGGGTGCCCTTGTCAAAGCCTCTGTGCTCTGTTGATTCAATGTGCGAAGCGCTGCACCGGAGTTCTGGACTCATACGAAGGTTTCAAAGCTGTTCACATCATCTTTCAAAGTCTGCTTCCAGACCAATTGTCACCTTCTGGTCTGAGTTTGTCGACTATTTCTGGTGATATTTCGCAGCTGCTCTTGCAAAGCGAGCTGCAAATGTATGCTGCGGAAATCTACGAATCCGGGCGTTCTTGTATACTGAGAAGTTTGTGGCGGCAAAGTAGGTGTAATCTTCAAAGGAAGAGGCTAGAGTAAGTAGAGTTTATCAGAGTGCAGATCTGACAACTGAATGTCTCTGAGAACAGCCTGCAGAGGCCGCAGACAAATGTTTAACGTGGATTAGAATGTGCATGCAGAGCACAGACAGCGAGATGCTCTCAGTATCTCCATAGTTACTTTGGGCCTGACTCGAAAACTCTTCCCATCATTCGTAACACGTGCATTATGCACCTCTGAATTAACGTGTCAATACCACCCTGGCAGAAAGTAACTGTCTCCCCACGTGGGAAGTTGAATACTTGCGATTGAATCTCACTCTCGGCCAATCAAATCAGCCGAAAGCTGACGCTGACTACAGTTGACCCCAGTAGTATCGTGACTCGCACATTAAAATTTGGAAGTGAATGTAGTCAACACGTGGTTGCTGAATTACATCATACGCTTTCTTTACCGGTAAGGTAATGGTATTCAAAATGTACCAGCACGGAATACCGGCATCCGTATGGCCGACATTCTTAGTACTTACCAGCATGGTTCTGTTGACGGTGTTTGACCAGCACGATTGCTTGGACGCCTTTGTGCCCAGCCTAGATACAATTAGACCCTACGGCATGTCCCTTCAACTAGTATCCGACGACGCAGACGTGGTACAAGTTGCGAATTGACCACCCTGACCGTCGGATAGGTCACGGCTCAAACCGTCCAAGTCCAACCGAACCAGACGGTGTCAAAGCGTGGATGCTGTTGGTCAGTTCTCAAAGTTGACACTCGGTATCCACCCTGAACCGGCCAAGGCAATCTGTAAATGTATAAAGAGCAACCGCCAGGAAGCCTTTCTGACCGGGGGAACGTGAATTTTGACGACCGTTCAGCCGTTCGGTACAAAACGGCGCGCGCCGTCTGCCAGATGCAAGGCCAATTCGCGAGGCGTTCTAATAAACGTCAACGGGGCTGTCTCCTCAGGGACTTGAACCGGTGTATATTTCTCCTTCACTAGCTGGCCCTTCAGTAGCTTCTGGCAGTTCTGGCCCTGGCCCGCCTGGGCCTTCTCTCTTGTCGATCGTCCAAGTTCACATGTACCCTGGCAACTGAACTAGTAGGGAGAGTGGCGTGAAAGCCCATTGTCGCTTTGCAGTGCATGCAGCTTGTGGCTCGAGCTTGTGGCGCCCACCAGTTTCGCCTTGTGAGCGGAGCCAAAATGTAAATGAAAGCATACTATTGCAGGGGTGATCATAAAGTAAGAACCCTTTGGTGCGTCTTCTTGCGCTTCCAGCTATAGTAATAGTGAAGCCTGCACGTCGCTCGTCTGTCGCATCAAGGTGAAAGTCTCATCAGCTCGTGTTCAAAGCCTGGAACCTTCACAAGGATATGAAAGGCAATGCTGGTCGCAATTGTTAGTCTTTGGTCTGTGTCGGTGATTGGGAGAAATGGCACAAGGAGCTTACCAGCTTGCTCAATCTTACATCCATAACTCGACCACGTGGGGTCGATCGCTCAAAGGGCAGACCACCTTTGGGCTGCTAGATCCAAGCCATCAAACATGTCTTCAATTAGGGTTTGGCAATCGGTTACCCGTGCCAATACATAGTCATCGGCAAATTCTCCTTTCTCAATGCATGCAAACGATTACAGCGTTTGGAAAAGAATGCAGAGGCTCTAATGGAACGCAGAAAAGTCTGTGGGTTGAAAGCGGAAGAAAAAAAGGGGCGGTGAAAACCAGCGCGTTGGGTTCAGACGTGGGGGCGGAAGCAGGAGTGTCGAGGCCCCCATGCAAGAGCAATCTGGGTTGCTTTCTGGGCAGCGATGTGGAAAGCGATGATGAATCGAGTATCCCCCGTCCGGTGAGCAAACAATCCAATCTCCTGCCTGATTCTAGCATGTGGAATGTAGAAAGGATTCTGCCATAAAAAGCATTGCCACCAATGCAAGATAGACTTTGATAGTAAGTTCGTCCTCAAAGAAAAGTAAAACAATCCCTTTCACAGAGGAGCAGAGTTCTGAATGCTTGCACTTGATGGGGCACCCTCGCTTGGCCATGATAAGTAGGCTATGAAACCTCAGAGTGAAAAAGAAAACGCCGCCCTTTTGAACTTTTCATAAGAGGGAGGTTGTATTGGACGAGCTCTTATAGCTCTCTAACACAAAGGTTTCAAGGTTGTGGTCAGCAAGAGGCGCCCATGTTTTGCCAGGACTTGTGTATGCCTGGTGTGTTAGGAGTCGTTATTTGGTATGGTGGCGCGAGTTTTTACCTTACATTTCAATCCGTTATGTGCTGCTTCAGACTTGATAGATCTTGCAATTAGTGCTCGCTTTGTCAGTGCCTCTTGACCAACAAATATCAAAAGCTTCCCATGTTGTGCCCCCAAACTGGCTCCGAATGGAGTCAAGCTGCAACATTTGAAAATTGTTGACCTGACATCAAGAAAAACAGCTACATGGCAGAATTTGAGAAGCGTGATGCCAGGTTTAGTCAAAACGGCCAATCGAAAGTCTGTCTAAGCCACCTGGCGCTTTGTCCAACATCTCTCAAAGCTGAAGGGGATCAAGTCCAACGCTAAGGTCTTTGCCTGCCCGCTACTGGAGTGTGCTTGTCAAGCTTCATTGTAAGCGCTGGGAATTTGTGAGAGGAAAAGAAAACCGCGCTGATGCTTTCCCGACACCTAACATCAACCTGTGAACTTTTGAAACTAGATTGGTGCACCCTCTTGCTCCTCAGCTTTCCTGCTATGTTTCCATTTTGATGCCAGATTACGTAGTAATTCATTGTTTAGGTTGAGTCTACAATTGCTGTGGGGGGAAGAAACACAGAAGGATAAAGCAAGGAACGGCCGTGACTTTGTTCGCATGCAGCCCCGACCTTCCCCGTCCCCGCCAGTTCCGCAGAACCAGGGCTTTCTTCAACACCGACTGTGGCAAGACATGACAACCGAGGACTTCAAAAACTTCGAGGACATTGAGAACGTGGTGGCCATTCTACCGGTAGCTGCGATCGAACAGCACGGGCCGCATCTCCCGGTCTGCACGGACGCCTGCATAAACGAGGTGGGTTAAGGGCTCGGTTATCGAGCGGCGTTAACATTAGCGGTCCAAGCAATCCAAGCAATCCAAGCAACAATCACCTTCACGAGCCCGCACTGAAAAGCATGCTAGCCCGACGTGAAAGGACGTGAAAGAACGTGTCCGATTCTGCAGAGTTGAATAGTGCGACCCGCAGGGAAGTCTCGTGCAGGGACGATTCTTGTTTCAATGAAAACGAAACGACCCTGGCCTTGAACCCCTTGTGAAGCCTCCCCCCATCTACGATATGGTTTTCTGTATATCTTATTTAAACATTACCTTCTCGCCCATGTTCGGGACTGCCAATCATTTTGTAATGGTTCTGTTTCAACCCCAAGCCCAGAACTGAAGTGCACTCAACCAACAAATCCACGTCGTTCTCGCAGGGCGTCCTGAGGCGAGCCCTCGAGCTGTTACCCCAGAACGTCCCCACTCTAGTTCTTCCCGCCATGCCCATTGGCAAATCCAACGAGCACCTCGCCTTCCCCGGCACGCTTTCCCTCAGCGCAGCAACGCTGACCGCCCTTTGGACAGACATTGGACAGTCCGTGGCGAAAGCTGGCGTCCGAAAACTGGTCCTTTTCAACTCGCACGGCGGTCAGCCCCAGGTGCGTTCCGATCTCATTGAGTGGTCGGCTGTTTGGTTTATGTGCTGCCCTCGTTACGGACATGCACGGATTCTTCTGTATCCTGGGTTTCTCGTCGTCCGCCTTTGCACGACAGTCCGCAGCGAACGCTGGCGTCCATAAGGTAGTCTTCTTCAACTCGCACGGCAGCCAGCCGCAGGTGTCTTCTGTCCTAACGCTTTGTCCTCTTTTGGACTCCGATTCCGCCCTCGTTCCGAGATTTGCGCGGACAGTCTATAGCGAGGGCGGGCGTCCGGAAGGTGGTTCCTTGCATTTCGCACAGATGCCATCCGCCGCTGCGTTCCGTTCGGTTGCTTTGTCTGTTGTATGAAGGAAGGAAGGACGAAGACGGTTGCCACAACGCCCATCCGCTGAATCCTGCATATCCTGGGAACTGGTGCCCGCGAGCTTCGCATTTGCCGCCACACTCTAATGGTCGTCGATCCGCAAGCTGTGCAGAGGGTCCATTAATGCTTCTCCAGTCCGCCGCCTCTTCCAAGGAAAGCTTTTGAATCTGAAATTTGATGATATGACCGCAGGTACTGACATTTGCGCGTGAGTTGTGCGCAACGTCTGTGGTGACTTTTGGTTGGTTCACTGTCGGCACTCTCAAGGTCCCGTTTCTTGAATCTAACAAGGGCCTATTTCTTGAGCCTGATTCCGAAGTGTCCAAATTAGTGATCAACCGTTGGATTCCCTACTCTGTCCGGGGAGTGGACATAGTCGCACGCGAGCTGCAAAGCTGCTGCAACATCTTCGTTGTGATGCCAAGTTGGTTCAACTCTGGGACTCCAGCGAGGCTTTTATCAAAATACTCCCTAACCCACAGACCCTTCTTTTTCAGAATTTCAAGTCCCTGTCCTTTCTGTTGCAGATAATGGACATAGTCGCCCGCGAGCTGCGCATCCGCTGCAACATGTTCGTGGTGACTTTGAGTTGGTTCAGTTTCGGCACGCCGGAGGGCCTCTTTCCGAAGCACGAGATCCGGCATGGGATCCATGGGGGCGCCGTCGAGACGTCCATGATGATGCATCTGCGGCCGGACCTAGTTAAGCACGACAAGGTGAGGGTTATGCAGCTAACCTCGGGATATGGGTGTGGTTCGGGAGGTTCGATGGCAGAATAAGGGCGTCAAGATCAAAACTTCGTATAATGCGCCTGAGCTGGACCTGCTTAGGCAGCTCAACCCAGGACTTACAGAACTTAACATGGTGACGGTGACGAGGCGAGAGTTTGTAAAGATCAGCGAGTCGCCCACGCCTTTGATGTTTGGTTCTCCAGGATCTGGCGGAACGAACCAAGTTGTGTCGACAGAATCATCCAAAGCTCTTTGCGTCGGATCTCGGGCGCCCAGAATACTCGTTTGCGAAGGGCGTCCCACCGCCAGTTTCAACATGAGTGCGGAGCATTTGACTTTCGCCTTTTCATTGCCAGAGCGGTCCAGCTTTCCACGCCCCACCTGCATGAGCGGCCCACCTGTTGACACGGCTTTCTTGTCCTCTCTCCAGTGCCGCAACTTCGAATCGCTGACCTCCAAGATGGAGAACGAGGGGTACCGACGATTGCAAGCGGAGGGGGGCGTCGGGTTCGGTTGGCAAATGCAAGACCTACACGAGTCGGGTGCGGCAGGGGACGCCACAAATGCGGACGCCGAGAGGGGAGAAGAGTTGGTGGAATTTGCCGCGGAGCGGCTAGTAGAGTTGCTGGGCGAGGTTCACCGTTACCCGTTGAGTAACATCAGGTCGAGAGATGGCGTTGCGGAGGCGTTGGAACTGGCTTCGAGTCACAACGGGAGGTGGCGGCCGAACGGATGACGGATGTGTTGCGAGGAGTTGGCGCGTTCGCTTAAGTTGACATTACAATCGAATCAGGACCGCTTGATTGGGCAGATTGCCCCCCAATGGATCCAGCTTTCAGTGTACAGTAGTAAAGAGGTCAACGGGATCCTCTCTGGTTGGCTTTTGCCAGCGTTTGGTCCTTCTGTCAATCAAGCCTCACGAGAAGAAGTGCGGCTGGCCAGCAGTGCCGCATGCGCAATATACAGTTATTGTACCTCAATTGAAAACATATATCAATTAAGCGTTTACCATCAATGTTTACGTCGTCCACCGTGTCTTACACTGTATCCTGCCAGATATTGCATGGGCGGCCACTTCCACCAATGTAGCCTACTTCCGACGTTGGTTCGGAAAATCAGTGATCGATTGGCCGCCGGACGTCATATTCACTTGCTCGCACTGATGAGTTGAAACAAACGACCGTTGAATGCGCCGCGTGCCAAACCGTCAGTGATATTCGAATATATGAATCACATATATGAATCACATCTACGCGAGCACCATATATAATTGTTGCGCTCGAGTGCGCGCACGCTGCAGTGCTGATGAGTCAGGTCACTTGTCTTAATAAATAACTGTGATCAGGCATTTAACGTTGTATAATGATGTCCCTTTGTTCAACCAGTCAAGCTAGCTTTGTGCTGGGCCGGCGCCGGCCCGTCCGGGGCCTGCTTAGTACAGATCGCGTAGGTACATGCCGTCAGTGCGCATGCGTGCCGCGCCGCAGTAACGCATTCAGAGACCGCGCAACGAAAGTGCGGCAGAACGTATCATGCGCTTAGTCACTTTGAGTGCCCACGGGCCGCTATGACCTCGTGAGTCTTACCGCGAGTCTGAGTGTGACTCTGGCAGAGCGTTCAACGCTTATGAGCTTTACGTACCCATGTAAGGTATTGTCCGGCAATGAGACGTACCGATGATACTGGCAAGCGCCTGCTGCAAAAGTATCATGCGATCGCCATCTCACTAGGTACATCCAAGTCTTTGCTTGATGATCGGATGGAATGAAATGTGCTAGATGAAAGACAGCGTTGACCGAAGTGACCAAACACGCTGGGGCTGGCCAAGTCAGTACAAACTTTTGCGGCGTTATGACTTATTCACATATGTCAGTGGATTATGTGAGTGGCTGGCAGTTTAACAAAATTCCTACTGAGTATATAACAGCCCAACAAACGTGGCTAGCTGCTCAGATTATACCTGAACTGAGTTATACAAGCTAGCTACTAGCTAATGAAATTCCAACTAAGATACGATGTTAAGGACGGGTCAAGCTGATATCTCTAAAGCAAAAGGTTCAGAACCTATGCCTATGATTTCGTAGCAGCTTACATGCCTGGAGCTAGCCAGCTAGTGAGTCCGCGGCTTAGACACATAAAGATGAGTGGATGCGGGAGTCCTACTGCGCTCGCTCTAATCAAACCCTACGGTTTTTATCAATTGATTTCAGTCGAGCCTGCGATCTTCTTTCCACTGAACAGGTACGCACTATGTACGACCGCGCAGTTGCTCTCGTTAGTTCAGCGGACAATACTCGCTGCTAGATTTACTGCAATACTCTTACGAAAGGATCTGGCTACTCTATGCAGTTTTTTATAGGCCCCACCTTTCGAAGTCGCCTGATTGCCAACTCCGAACAGATACAAACCCTTGACAAGATACGCTAGGGTTGAAACTCAACACCCTTTTAGGATCACGCTTGCTTGTCAATGTCAAGAGTGACGAGAGCGATGAAAGCAACCGCACGCGCGAGCAAGCCGTAGGCAACTAGAATGGCGATGGAGGATCCAAAGTCGGACATCCCGAAGCCCGCCTTCTCCATCATCGCGCAACGCGTTAGCAGCCAAACGCCCGAGTACCTGGGGGCGCAGACGTCAGAGTGAATGGGTGCTTTCAAGAGTTTCTTTGAGTCTTGAAAGCACTGACTCCAAATGGTTGGTGTTTCTGATATAGGCTTCTGTCTTACGTGGTAAAGAGGCGCATACGAATTGATTAGAGGGTAGAGAGCTCTAAAAGCTCCTGTGCTTAGGTTGATTGCTGCAAGCCTAACCAATGTTCGTTGCTCCTGTGCCGCATGTCTTCCTCTGTGATGATATAGCGAGACCATGCACTTTGCCTCTAAGTTGTGCTGAATTTCGGTCAGAAAGAACGACTTGGTCATGTAGATTGACTCAACCTGGATAACCAACAGTGCCCTTGGTTCACGGTTGGAAGTCAAGGAGTACCGAACTCGCCTTCTGTCTTTCCTTCGCGACGAGTCAACTGCAACTAAACCTTGCCAAGCAGAACACATGCCTGCAACGATGTACTTCGTGAAAACAAACAAGAACAGCACGTCCTTACCTTTTTGCATTGGCCAAGAAATAGGCCCTGCCGGCATAGTAGGCGTAGCTCGCCTTAGCCAAGACCCCGGCCGTCCCCCGGGGGTTCTCCCGGCCGCCCAGAAGCAGGGCAACGAGCGCGGTCATGGCTGCGCTCTGCACCCAGGGGAAAAGATCATCGGGTTATAATTAACCGTAAAACTTATTGTAAGGTTGGTCTCTGTTGGCGTGACAAGCGCCCAGTTCAAACGGGGTTCTTCCGGCCGGCCAGAAGCAGGGCAATGAGCGCGGTCATGGCGGCGCTCTGAAACCAGAAGATATGTTATCGGATTATATCACAATTGCAAAATTCATCAGAAGGTTAGTCTCTGGTTTGAGTGACGAAGCGCCCAGCTCGAACGGGGGTTCTCCCGAACGCCCAAAAGCAGGGCAACAGCGCGGTCATGGCTGCGCTCTGCACCCGGGGGAAACGATCATCGGGTCATATAACGATAGCAAAACCTATCAGAAGGTTAGTCTCAGCTTGGCGCGACGAGCCGCAGAGCGGAGCAGGGGGACGGATGCTCGGTCTCCTTGACTTACTGTTTCTTTGTTCCAAGTGTGTGGGGTCAGTTGCTTTCTCTAAGCTGCTTCCTTCTGGAAACGAGGTAAGATGCAAAGGAGTGGGCACTGGCAAGGCGACTGCAGGGCCACTAAGAAAGCAGAAGGCCTCGCCCGTTTTTTTTCATGTAATTCCCTTATAGCTTACAATCACATATTCCTTGCGCTGAGACAGGGTCATCTGATTAACGACAAAAGCTGATCAAGAAACACCGAAGCAGCAGGTTTCGAAACTTTCAAAATATACATAAAGCGAACGGTGCGTGCACCTGAAACGCACGGGATGATCTACGCCAAGCAGAGCGCGCAACTTCGTAGCAGCACACGCCTTGTGCCAAAAAGGAGCGCTCGGTGTGCGAGCTCCAGAAAGCGCGCGGACATCGCGCGCGCACAGGGGGGTTCTCTCACCAGCTGCGCCGATGCGGGCTTGAAGACGATGGACAGGACGTAGCCGATCCCGGTGCAGCAGTAGGAAAGCGCGAGCGTGACCACGATGTTGTCGTGGAACGTGGAGCGCATCTGGAACAGCAGAATTGACGTGATCACGCAAAGCCGAACCTTTTTCCCTGGTTTCGTTCGCTCAGCTTCTCTCGATATTCTGATCATCAAGTCGTATCTCCGTAGCCAAAGCTACGGATGCTCTGATCTGAAGCCCGTTTTGCCGTCAGGAAGGGGAAACGTCCCTGCTGACGTCAGAAGTGCCGGCTACGGGAACTGGTCATCTCCAGTGTAAGGTCCAACACCACGAGCACCGCCAGGATAATCAAGTCAAGGATTGCGCTGAGCTCGATTTTCTAGTGAAACGACAGGAAAGAACGGTGCACTCAGAGATAGGACGTACGAACTGAAACGACTCATCCCATAAAACCATTCAGCTAACACATCTCGCCAGTGGATTCGCCAAATACCGGATTTTGATCGCCTCCGGTTTGACGGACGGTCTGAGAGAAAGTCCGCGGCTCACGTTCTTGAAGTAGTAGAAGATGCTCATGTAGACGTAGCTCTTGCCCAGGGTGTGAACGTGGTCGCTCGCGTCTTTGGCCAGGAAGTAGGCGGGCCTGCTCACACCAGACGCACTCTCGCGCCAAAAGTTGAGCTTGTCCGCGCCGAACGTCCGCAGCACGCCCAGCTTGCTCAGCAGCGCTGCAGAAAAGGAGAACTTATGAGCCCCGCTTGGCGCTTATGAGACTCCGGGCTGCGCTTATAGCTCTCGGCAGGCGTTTATAGCTCCCGGATGACGGGTATGGGCTCCCGGAGGCGCTTATGAGCTTTTTTGGACGGCCCAATGCGCACCAGGTAACTCAGACCCAGGAGAGGGTTGACTAGGAGAGGGTTGACTGCAAGGGTGCGGAGAGTAAGACAGCCGTTTCCGAATGTTTCAGGAGGAGCTCCGGGCAAGTCGTTCGTCTAATCCGAAAGGTTTGGGGTCAGAATGGCCAACGTGAGTACTACGGTCGACGAGTCGGAATCCTTGCCGCAGGAATTGACAAATATGGCTGGAGTGCACATTATGGTCTCTAAACTCGACGACAAAAAGCTGCGGAAGGCGGCCTTGTCTTCTTTGTGCACTCTTGATTGAAAGCTCTAAACATTCACGTACGCCTCATCAAAGCGAACCTGGTAAGTCAAAGAGATGAAGAGCCTTTCCAGCCAGAGTGATGTCGGTTGTCACGATCAGAACAGCAATAAAAATATCGTGTAAGTCCCTATTCTAGGCTTAGAAAACTCCTTGCTCAAGCCTTGTCGCAGAATTGCAGCCTGTCTTCGAAACAGGAAAGAGCATACAATATGCCAAAGGTCTTACCAAGAGACAGTATCGATTCTTGGATTAGCGTCGAGCCACCGAGGAAACTATCAGAGTACTTAAGAATCAAGCCCATGAAGGCGGCCACAGTCGCGACGATGACGTAGTCTTGCAACAGCTGGCTGCTGTCACGCACCTGCTGCTTCAGAAGCCTGCAGAAGGATTGAAAGAGACTCTTCGCACAAGGCACAGACTTCAACGCTCCGCATGGTCTCTCACTTTGCATTCTGGTCTGCCTCGACAGCGGTGTGCATTTTCCACAGGCTGTCAGCGACGGGTGGACTCTGCCGTATGATTATGGTGGATTTGAGTGCGGAGCGCGTGGGCATGTACAGGGCACATAAATGCATCTCGGTTCATACGTTCGTAGTCTCTGCATCGTAGCTTATACACTGGCTGTAAGGCACACACGAATTACTTCTTTCGGTCTTTTCCAAAGTCCTTCTGAGAAAGGGTTCAATTGCAATGAATGCGCTTTTCCGATCCGAAGTCAACCTGCGCCATGAGGGTCGACACGGTCTTACTTCCGATGCATACCAAGAACCTGCTAATCTCGTTATACCTTAGCAGAATGAGCAGGAACTGCGTCCGGAACCCTGGCGTCTTTCTTCCCGGCGGTACAACCGGCCGTCGCTCCCCAACCGCCCCAAGCAGCGACGCGGCCGCGTTTCGGCGCCCTCTCAGAACCCCCCAAAACCTGTCGGCGAGCTTCCCGGCCCCGCTGCATGTCGTCACTTTCGGGGGGACCGAGTCTATATCCTTTTCCGGGGGGTCCAGGGCAATTTGTTGCTGCCGCCACAGCTGCGGCAAGTCGCTCGGGAGGACCCCCCGGGTGCTCTCGACAAGATCGGACATGACGTTCCTGAAGAGAAATACTCGATGTGTCAATGTCGAAGCGAGGACTTTGCCAATCCAGGAGAGCTTCTCTTGGATATGTGTTCAGAATCCGTGTTCGTTTGCCTTCGTAACTCATTTGGATTGTCATGCTCCGCTTTGCTGATCCAAGGAATTCTTTGCGCTTGAAGGTTCTTTGAGTGTATCGATCCTTAAGCGATCATTGACCTGGGGAGCCAGATTAAAGTGCTTGGAAGTGGTTAGACACAGCCCACATGCTTTTAAGGCCTCGCAGGAATGCGAAGTAGACCTTAAAGCCAATTTGATTTGGTACCAACTTCCTGAACAATCTTTTTCTCAGATGTGTAACGACGGAGTCCAAAAGAGATTTCATGAACATTGTTCACGTAACGTGGACAAAAAGCGGAAGCGGGGCTTACATGAAGTGGTCTGCCGGGTTCATGCGGTGCGGAACAGGAAAGCCAAGCCCGTCAAAGTAGGGTTCCACTTCCGGCATCGGTCCAAGGTACACCAGGCCCTTGTTCAGCAGCAAAACGTCGTCGAACAGACTCAGAAGCTCGTAACTGCGCGAGGTGACTCGGGTCGTTAAGAACGCGCTGAACTTGTGGATGCAGGCTTTAAGGTGCTTGGATTTTCTGGGCACTTATTCGTGGTTAAAAATAGAGGGCCTGCTGAGCGCTTTTATATTGGTAAGTCTGATGAGGGTTTTGTCCCCTTTTCTTCTCACACAGTTAACGTGCTCCGAGAAAAATCTAGGATCGGACAGGTATCTCGACGTTGTGCAGAAGCCAGGTGCTCCTTATGGCGATCACGAAGGTGGTGAGGTGACACCACCTAAGAAGCGGTGATAGCGCCGAGGTAGAGCGGTCTGCCGCACGAGGAAGCGGGAGGCTTTGGAAACTAACCTCGGTTGGTGGATGACTGCCGCTGCATTCAACCCCTTCTTTGCCTCCTTTTTCAACGCGTGCAACATCTGAAGCGACGATACGCTGTCCAACCCGGACGTAGGCTCTGCAGGAAAACAAACCGGGTCAGCCTCGGGAGAATAGCACTAGGCGTTGACTAAAGAAGTCTGCACTTCTATAGCTCCTGCGACGTTCTGACGTTCAGGGCCGGGCGAAGGCACAACTATTGCAACTGTATCAGACTCTCTGCTCAGAATCAAAAGCAGCTAGAAGAGAGAAAAAGAGACGGTCTGCTTCTGTAGCCGACAAAGAAACTTCGATGCACATGTCTTGTTGGAAATCCAAGGAGCTGAGCCGACTCAATCACCGATACCACCTGCTGCCTCTCTTCCCTCCAGCAGCCCTCTTTGGTCGAAGAACATAGAAACTGCCTTTACGGGAGTATCAACTCCAGCCACACTATAAATCAATAGCCGGATTAAGATCGTTTGCTGAGGCCATTTTGATTTCAGAAATTCAGCTTTTAAGATCAAAGTGGTCTGACACAACGTTTAAGACCAAAAATAGCCTGAAAACCTGAATAGGTTTAAGATCGAAGTGGCCTCACAACGATCTTGAACCGGGCTATCATTTATAGTGGCCACAGGGACAATTGTAAACCTAGATAGGGACGGTACGAAGGCTCACCGTCCAGTAGAAGAAGACTCGGCTGCGCCACCATTTCCAGCCCCACGCTGACCCGCTTCCGCTGGCCGCCGCTCACTCCGCGCCGCTCGACGCTGCCCACCAACGAGTGGCGCACCCCTTGAAGGCCCAGCGTGCGCAACACGTGCTCCACGATCTCGCTCCTTTGCTGGCGGGATGCGTGGGCTGGGAGCCTGAAGGGGAAGAAACATAATTTTTAACGTCTTAATTACCCGGCCCTCATAGGCAATGTCCGACGTTACGTCCACAATCTTGCTGGCGGGATGCGAGTGCTGGGAGCCTGAAGATTGAGAAGAGTACCGTATTGGGTGGCTTGCTTACCGGGCTCTCACGGGCGATACGTGATGTCACGGCCTTTGTCGAGGAGCCAGTTGTACAAAGCACTACCAAAAAGTTATTTCTAGCAACTCTGTTGCGCTCCGGCTCTTGATTCAAGGAGCAATTTGTGGTGGCAATAACGCCAGTGGTCTCACAGTCAGGTCGTCTTTAACACCCACGACGAAAACACCATTCTTCTATCGCTCACCTGTAGCTGGCGCTGAACCAGATGTTCTCTTCGACGGTAAGGCTCCCGTGGACCACGTCATCTTGCGGAACGAACCCCAGGATCTTCCGCAAACTGCGAGTATGTTTTCGGCCGTTGATCTCGATCGTCCCGCGCATCCGGCAGTGCGTCTCTTTCCCTGCCAGAGCGTGAAGCAGAAGCGACTTGCCGGCACCAGACGGCCCCTGCAACCGGAACGAATTTCTTCATTCTACTTTTGATGACGGTCGTAGGGATGTCCATGGTCCCTGGAAGGTGTTTGAAGCCGACTTGTCTGTCTACAATTGTAAATAACATCTCACGGATAGTGTGCGGCTAGATTTGGACATGGCCTGGAATATAGAAGGGACTCCAACTTGATCCAAGTGGGTAGCTGAAACGAGGGTTTGCGTAGGAGCATAGAGACGGTTTTGAGACTAGACCAACTCCCTACGAGTTCCAAGGGAGCCAGCAATCACGCGTGACAGCTAGTAAATGAGTGAATCAGCAGTTCTCCATACGGATCCTGCCTTGATTCGCTTTCTTGTGTCTCCATCAAACTGACCCGCTCATGTCGACAGACTTGGTCCAGCTATAAGGCTCTTAGGCTTTGCGCCTTCCGAAGCGCGTTCACTTTGCCCCTGGAAACTCACCATAATGGCGGTCAGGCGCCCCGAGCGCATCTTCCCGCTCACCCCGGCCATCACTTCTCTTCCCCCGGGCAGAACCATAGTCAGGTCCAAGAACTCTACCTCTACCCGTGGCTGCCCCTTCCAGAACACCTCCCCCGGCGACAACGCCCCCTCTGTTTCCCCAAGCAGGTCGCCCAAAGCCCCTTTTTCCGGCTCACCCCCCGCCATTAAAAGCTGCTGCGACTCCCCGTCGCCGTCCGATGCCCAGCTCTTTCGGACGTCGCTGTACGTCCGGATCTGCTCAGACGCCAGCGCGCTTTCGGGGACGCTAACGCTGGTGCGCCGTTTGACGCCGCCCGCCTTGGAAACCCTCTCTAAACCCTCCGCCGCTTTCTCGCCGTCGGCCGGCATAAGCACTTCTCGCGGCCGCGAATCTCCCGCAAAACCCTCCAAACCCTCCGCTTGCAGCGCGTTTCCGACGCTTGCGCGCATGTCTTCGTCCGTTGAGAGCCGACTGCTTGTCCGAGGGTTGGTGCCGTTCGAATCCCTAATCTCGCGGACTCCGTTCCCCGACTTGGATTCCGGCGGAACGCCTGACCTCCACCGTTCCTTGAAGGTCATCAGAGAGACGGCGCGGCGGAGGAGGGACTTCGCCTTGGAAAGACCTTCGGGCCGGCTCTGGCCAAAAGGATGACCAAGCTCTGAGTTTTCGCAAAAACTATTCAGTCAGACTGTCCCGAAGATGTTCTCTTCTTCTCAAACAGAGCTTACATCTTTTCATATAATTGGTGACGTGGGTACGTAAGTTTGCTGGTCTTACAATTTGCGTCCCTGATGATGTCACACAGGGTTAACACCCTAACACACACTAAAACCCTAAGGGTAAGCATTGGGCAAACCCTAAGGCGTTCCGCCATAGCCCACCCGCACCCACCTAACCCCCCAGCTAACCCCACCAAGATAAGTGTTAGCCCTGTTTGTAACCCGCGATTGCCCCGAGCACCTACCGCACCCGGTTGAACCGACCACATTCTAAAAGTACCGTACCGTACCACTGATATCGCTGATGTCATCGATGACGTATTTTGGAGACTAGCAAATTACCTAGTCTGCTGTAATTAATCCACGCTTGGATTGTCACGATTTTATATTTGAAAATATTGTTTGTATCAATAGACTCGTCTCATCCACCTTACCCCTTTCGCCTGTTTCTTAGAAGGTCAGCGGACGCTCCCTTCAGCGGATGACAACAACTTATCACGTAATCTCGGCAGGATATGTCTACGCACGCTCTGCTTCTCGACAGCGCACAGACGACATCAGTGAAAGGATGGCTGCAACGACTGTCGGAGACTTCTCAGAAAAATGCGGTGACTTACTAGATGGTCGATTTTGCACCGCCAAATGTCATCGATCCCCTTCAGGATGGCATAGAAAAGGACCATACCACCCGCAGTCAGTCCCATCACAAAGTGCTTTGCGTGGACGTCGCTGCTGTTGGGACCACAGGTCTGGAGAAGTCCGCACTCTGCGAAAGCGGGAGAAAAGTCCGCTGTGTCTTATCCGCAAAGCAGCCACTCGTCAGATTGGATCGCATTTGGACAGGTGAATAGTGTGTCGTCACCCGTGAGGTTGGCGCAACAAAGAGGCGGCTATCAGCAGTAATCGCAAAGATCATGTCACAAGAGCAGCCTTTTGTATTTGAGAAGTTGTCTGGAGCGAAGCTGCCAGGCTAGATCAGCCATTTTTGCACTATCCCTGCTGGTCCGACATATATCCTGAGCAGGATTGAGATTCTTTCTGATCAGAAGCGGTGGTCTCAGTGAATGCATCCTTCATCCTCTAACCAGATTGCCAGCATTCAAAGACTTGGAGCTGTCTCTAGCTTGGCTCCACAAGAGCGGTTGCTTTTCTGACACGTTACACCAAACCTTACGCGGCCGACCTTTCGACTTTCTCGACAAATCAAGCATGAAACTAGAGGACCTTCCAGAGCTTAAAGCCCCTCAAACAGGAAGACCGCGGGAGCCAAAACGCCTTGAAAGACCCCGCTTACTCTTAGGCGCCTGGGAGCCTCTTGGGCAGTAGTGCCCCGGAGGGCAAGGGACCGGCCAGTCCGTCATCGTTGGGCAGTAGTACCTGAATAGTGAAGCATAAGACTTTTGGTTTCTAGATACGCGACTGAAAGCCACAACAAAAAAACAAAAAGGACACAGCGCCAGCAGAGCAAGAGCAGAAGGTCCTTTGCAATCAGATCTCCACTTAATAATAATGTTCAAGACCTCAATTCATCCCTTGAAGAATGGGGGCTGACGGGGAGCAGATCTCTATCTCTTCACGTCGTAGCTCGGCTCGACAAAGGATTGCACTTAGCTTCCGACTTCTCACCCGTCCCAGCAGAAGATCTTGTCGTGATCGTGCGACACAGCGACGCCCCAAACGTCGGCCCCGCCGCAGGTGCCCTCGTAGGCGTGGTACTTGTACGGTTCGCAAAGACTGTACGCGCCCTTGGAGAGAAAGGCGGTCGGGCAGAACGAGCCCCGAGGACACGCTGGAAGGAAGAATTGGACGAGTGAGCTCAACGAGCTATATGAACGGCTCCTGCTGTTTGCCTTAGAATCATCAGTTTCAGAGTCAAGCATCAGCAGTATGGGTGATTTATCTCGCTGCTTTCGATGACAGTGTTGAGGAGTGTACTCGCTGTTCACATGTTACACCAGGCATTCCTTTGACTCATCCAACCTCGAGCTCGCCACCTGATGGGAGAGGTGAAAACAGCTTCACCGTGACAGGGAAATTGTTTTTTGCTACCTTTCGGCAGTTTGGACCTCAAGACTAAGGTGAAGCATAATCAGAAGCAAACTTGTCACTCTACCATGATTGTACAGGGGGCCAGATTTTGTTAGAGTCTTGCCTTTCAGTTCGGGAGTTTCGAGCCTGCCGATCCATCTCTGCAACGACTAGCTCCGGAATGCAATCAAGAGAAACTGGACCCTCTTCAGACTGAGCCAAAACAGTCAGGAACACACACAAAGCAAAAGGCCGAGTCGAACTCACGGATCATGCACGCCAGCCCCTCGGGGCAGAAGAACCCCGGGCAGCACGCCAGCTGATCAATCGGACGGTCACGATCTGTTCTCCAAGGAACTTCTCTCTCCTGGTGAAAGTCCATTGGGGAGGGGTCTTGTACGGTGAAGCTTGCATAACCGGGGTAGCAGCCTTTGAGGCGGCGGCCGGGGTATTCCTGGCAGTTCTTGGTGGGGCCGACTGGGAACTGGCCCAGGGTTCGTAGGTAGAGTATTACTTCGGCCTTGGTGCAGAGCCGCTGGTGCAGGAGGCCTGCAGGGAAGAGATGTGAATAAGGACTCGTGCGAACACGATTCAGTGTGAATAAGCTTGGTTTATCACAGATCAGACGCAGGTTGATGATGCTAATGCAACCAGAGGTGATTGATACAGGGAGAGTGCTGAAGTTGCTGGAGATATGAAGCAACAGTGCATTCAACCGAAGGAAGGGACGATCAGGGAGGCAGACGTGATTAAAAGAGGCACTACTTATCCTGCTCGTGATCAGCCCTGAGGTCGTTTAGAAGCAGAAATATGTGCAGCGACAGGAAAGCATATGGATCAAGAAGGCAAAAAGGATGTCAAGGAGTCCAGCAAACTTCTTGTTTCGTAGAGCATAAAGATCACGCAGTAAGAATGCAGTGCAAACAACTGACCATTCTGCTCGCACGAGGAGACGATGGCGTTTGTATCACTGCGGGGCACGCCTGTGTACGTGAGCTCCACATCCAGCTCCCTGCATGTATAAAGAAGTGCTTCAAATTTTTTGTAACACAACCTTGTAGTAGTATCCCTGAAGTATGAGAACACACACAGGATCAAACACACACCTCCTTGCACAGGCTTGCAGCTTCTGATGGAAGACTTGACCACAGCATCATTCCCATCAGCAGAATCTGTCAGAGGATGGCGTGGCAAAAATGGCTTCAAGACCTCTCACAAAAGCTGCTAACAAGAATTTTTTTTTTGCAACCTCTTTGTGCTCTCTGTATTCTTTCTGCTGAAGAGAACAATCGTTACTACATTATGTGCATTTTTTATACAGCAGCTTCCAACAGTCTTCCTTGACCGAACTATGGTCATCAACCCGGAGGAAGGCAAAAAAAGGTCTTGACTCACGCATTCCCTATGCAGTCCATCTTGCCAAGCGCATCAATGTAGGAATGGTAGATCATTCTCAAATTGCTGGTGGTGGCGTTCAACACATCCCATGATGGTGGCGCAAACTTGGTCAAATTCCTCAGCCCGAGGTTGTCTACGGTTAGGTTAATGCTGGTTAGGTTACCCAGGGTCACACTGTGATTTCTCAGGAATTGCTGCGCGGATTCATTCAAGCTGGAAAAAGTGCTGTTGTTGAGCATCTGAGCTTCAATTGGCGCAAGGGTTACGTTTGCTATGGCTGACACTGTGTCTTCAGTAATGTTGCTGAAAACCTGGAGACTATCAAGCTGTGTCAATTGACCAACCGCATGTGGTTCATGGGAAGAAGCCACGTTGCTGGGACTGCTCTGCACCCCTCCCACTGACTGATCTGCAGCATCAGCCGGCATTTGCAAGGGCCTCGCTTCAAATAATGCATACTCTGCGCTTGCCGCATCCCCCGAGGCGCTGCTCCCGGTGCTCCTCTTTGAGTTTGAAGCATCTTGCGGGGTGGTATGCGCGGAGGTGACGCTCATGAATAGAAGCAGCACCAATAAATGCACAGAAGCAGGACCTGCCCTTTTTAGTGATGCGCCGCGCCTGATTAAACCCATGGTGCGTTTGTACAGCATCTGTTCCATTTCCCTGGTTACTCATGATTCCATTTTCATGGAGCTGCGGCTTGTCAAAAACGCCGCCCTATTGTCTCTTCAAATCACCTCTTCTCAGCAAAGCTGAAGGCAACAGCCACCATGCAGAATACCTCCAATATTGGTCTGAGCTGCAGCACTTGCTTTAATGGTTTCTGTGGCCCACGTCTCCTTGTATCCTAAATTCTGGATGCAGCCACCTACCTTTCCTTATGCTACCCAGCTTTCGGATGCATAACGTTCGAGGCTATGAACATGCAGCCGGGCCAGCCTGGCCAATGACATGCTGGAGCGGAGTTGCTACAATAACCGCTCAACGCGCGATCAGCATTATCGACGGTTGCAAATGGCGTTGTATGTGACAGGTAGGGTCATCGGACGGTTTTCAAGCCGCACATGCTTCGCTGTACGCACCAGTGCGTGACATGAACGGGCTAGCCTCACATTCGAATTTGAACTCGCGCAGCACTGCATGCACAAACTGATGACGTCTGCTGGTTGCGTCTCGACGGAAGAGCCTTGCCTACATGCTTCCAAATGTGGGACGAGCAAGTCAAGTTTCAGACCCCCTTCAGACACGTCGACCACTGAGCATAAGAGTCTCCACAGCCGGCCAGCTTCTTCTTGACCAGTGCGCCCAGACGTGGCAGTACTAATAGTTTAGCGGGGCGCACTAATAGTTTAGCTTTGTCTGGAGCAGCAGCGTTAATCACGTCGTACGACGTCGTACTACCAACTTGACCCCGTTTTCAGATCCAATGGGGTGCTCAAAGCGCAGGCCGACTGGCTGCCACGGAATAAGAGCCTCCGAATTGTTCTCTGAGCGTACGCAACTTCCAAGATTGATCACCAAGTGACCAAGCCGGTCTCGCGGTGTACTTGTAGCTCAGGGGTGACGCTAGAATAGGTACTGAGGGAGGAATCCCTCAAAGCCCGGACCAGACGATCGTCTTCCTTGCTACCCCTCAATCGCCAAACGGAGATCTAAACATAGTTTGCTCGGACGCCCTCTTGCGCCCAGATCTCCTCAGGCTAGACTTCAACGTCGATCGTAATAGAGTGACCATGGCAATATGATTGACTCGGATTGCCCTTATCAGGGCAGTAGCGTCCTCCTGCAATCGGGCCTGCAATCCGGGCAGAATGGGGTATTACAAGAAAATGAATTTTCGTGTTTTCAAAATCCGCCCCCCAAGTTTTGAGTTTCTCGACGTTGTACACCCAAAAAAAAGGTTGGCTGGGAAGCAGCCAATGCTTTTGCACGCCATCTTTGAAAGACGCAAGCAAGAGTGTCGGAGGGAAACTCGCCAATATTGTCGGGCAACGACAAGAGAAGGGTCATAGAGCAATGGCTTGGCACTAGTGATCTTCGCACAGGTTGATTTACGGGCCGAGGTCTTCCAATGTCGGAATTGGAAGATTATCTGTTGGGTGCGCCAGCAAAAGGCCGTCGAAGCTGATTCGATGTAATTTCAAATCAGCACGACTGTTGGATCCTGATGTGCATGCGTGCAAAGATGCAAACCATCCAAGAAATCAAACCAGCCGATCAGATCGCCGGACAAGGATCTGCGACGTCTCCGGGCTTCCAGCACGGTGCCACGCATGCTTTGGAAGCTGCCATTGAAGGGCACAACAGCACGCCGCCTCTGACCTTCGAGAAAATGATGAGGAGAATAACCATTTTCTGAAAGCTATTTGGGGGCCACGTGGACGTCGGAAGGAACTCTTGAACGCTGGTGGGCACTGTCAATGTCGCTTGTCTCTGCCGCCGAGGAGCCCTTGAATGCTTCCTCCGAGCTGGGCGGTTCCCGGTCTGTGGGACTGATCAAGATCTACGCCGAACCCGGCTGGCAGTTGCAATCACTGTTGGGTAATCGGTTGAAAACAGTCCCAGCTGCGGATCGATTCTCTGGGCATGCTATGAAGCATCGATAGCGAAACACTGCAGCTCTGCGTCCTACGTTTGCACCTGACCAAGGATCTTCAAGATCTGCTTTTCTAAAATGACAGTCGCTGGCATAGTAGTCATAAGCCTTTAGGCGTTAAGAAGGGGCCAGCACTCCTCGCCCCGCTACGATGCAAGTCAACACTTCCACACTCAAGACTCTTGCCTTGGAACCTGAAAACCTTGATACCGGCATCAGAAGTGTATATAGCGGAGCATGTTGGCATATCGACTGCCTAGGAGTTCCTGTCATAGCCGCACCGTCGACAAGTTGGCGAATGCTCGCTAAAAGACTCTGGTGATCACACTCTCAAAGTACGTGGGCCAACAAAGTTTTGTGGTGGCAAAATTCTTCCGGGGGTTCAAGGACATACGTATACGGCTAGTACTATTGAGAGTGATCGAAACAGCCAGAATCGAGCAAACGTGATAGCGAGCTCGCAAGAGCGCTGCAACAACTGCAAAGAAGCCTAACAGCCGCTTGGGTGATCGATTTGGCAAGTTCCAATCCAGTGTTATTCCCGCAGTCCTGGCCCAGGAAACCTGCCATTGCCGTGTTGAGCTGTGTCATTGAGTGGCTGATAATTAGCATAGAATGGCCACAGAGAATCAACACGACGATCCATGATCAGCTCTGGATTTGTTTCGATCGCTTCGTTTCGTGACGAACGGATCCTAGAGTTGCCTGCTTCTGTACGTCAATTGATCTAGCTTGAGTGTAAACGCCCAAACTCCCAATTGATGTAAAGCTGGTCCTTCAACTCGTGCCCAACACAATGTGGCAATCTGTACGTAAGCACAACTCTGCTACAAGAAGAGCAAGACACAGGCAAAGGCAGCCCGCCTTCATATTCCCATCGTTGTCCGGATTGAAGACCAAGGAGAGTGTTATCTAGCATAATCCAATTATACGCCAAACGAAGACAGCGAAAAGATTGCCGTTAAAGAGATCGTCAAAGCCAGAGACTGATTGCGTGGCGGCCTCTGAAGCGAACACCACAAATCGACGACTTCATTAGGGCCCACGTGGGACCTCGAAAGAGAAGCCGGTGCGAAAAACTCAAACGGGGATCAAAGGGAGTAAAAAAGAATTCTTACAAGGGCATCCAATCAAAGAAAGTATCATTTTCGGATGACTCGGCGATCAGCGGTACGAGCAGAAGAATATACTTTGCGCTCTGTCGTTAGAGTACGACTGATTGAGTTAGGCTGACACACGAAATTTTGCACGCTTCAAAGCTTTCAGAGGCCTCGCTTTGGAACTCAGCAACAAGCACTTTGCTGGGCAGATCCGAGCCCCGTGAGCCGCCCACAAGCGCACCTCAGGAGTAAAGTCTCCACGGTTCAAGTTCACGACTGGCAGTAATTACAAGCCAGTGCATTCGTCTATCCTCAGTGCCAACCTGTAGTAGGACAGGACGGCCATGTACAAAAGCTGGTTGGCCAGAAGCCGCAAAGTCGTACGTAGCATAGCCGTCAGGCAGGCGCCTTGCGAGCGCCCATCAACAACCGTTGAACCAGTGACTTCTGCCACTGTAATTGCCATCATTGACAGGTTGCCAATACGCATTCATGAATAACAACAGGCTGAGATAGATCGAAAAGTGGTGGATTGACGTCATGTGCGCGCCTGGCTTTGATTGCATTATATCATAATGGTGCAGGTTCTTTGTCAGATTGCTGACGACTCTTTAAGCCGGCTGGCAGACAATCACGCTGGCCAAGATACACAGCAGCGGTCAGGACGCCACTCCGCTGGTAGCGTTTGCGCCCAGAGATCGAACTCCGACTGCTTTCATGCGATCCTTTTGTAAGCACTCCGCGCCGCGCCCGGCCGACCGGCCGGGCCGCCTCCGGCTGATCGCGCGGCCGCCTACCGCCTCTGCGCCGCACCACGACCATGCGGCAACCCGCCGCGCGCGTCCTCGGACGCTTCGCGCGTCGCGCGCCGCGCGCGCTTGAAGGTGGAGCAAAGTTGAAACGAAGCGCTACAAGACAAAGCAAGACAGGTAGTTTTGAACATGCAAAAGCTGTGTCCCCGTGTTTCGTCGTTGTGATAAGCAGTTAACGTCGGTTCTTCTGTGGTCCGGCTGGAAAATGGGCGGCATCGCCACGTGTTACGAGGATGTACGAATACGGATCCTTTTAGATAGCGCGTCTTTGAGACGAACGGCGAAATCAGAAAAATGCTTGAGGCAAAAGCTAGAGGGATCATTTTCAATCAAACCGGTGATAACCGGAGCAAAAGCTGCCAGGGAGGCACTACACGCGATCTCGGCTCAAATGATGGCAATTCCGCAGTCCTTGTATGGCATAGCGATAGGGGCAGTCTTATTAGCCAAAAGCAGGTCAATTACGACTTTCCAAAACCGAAGGTGGTCGGAGATCCTCGCTGTAACTTCAGCGCATAATTCGGGAAGGACTTGCAAAGCGCAAGAGTTTGCGCTGACGCTTCTGGCATGTGGTCCAAATCTTCAAGTAACTTTACCGTCAATCGTGCAAATCTGCGTCAAGGGCCGGGCTTCCGTCACTGCCAGGATGCAGGTAGGAAATCAAAGCGGGTGAAAATGCCGGTTGGGCAGCCCAAAGGCCGCAGAACGAGACCAGCGCCCATGCAGGTTAGGCGGATCGTGACGAAGAAATGTCGCTTCATGCAAACAGAATGCAAAAGAAAAGCAGACTCTGCCTTGGTTCGGCGTGTTGCGCAATCAGATTTTCCGCTGGTTGGAACTGGGGCGCTAGAGGGAATCTCTTTTGATAAGTTGACCCTTACGAGTGTTGGGGGCTTTCAACGGAAAAACCTCATTGTGGAACTCTAAGATCCGAAACCGTACCGTCTTCTAGCATTGCAGTTCCATGCGGAAAGACGACTTCCTTTCAAACAAGGAAAAGATTCGCAACTGACATGCTAGCGCGCGGCATTTCAACATATATACCCCGGCCCCCTAGATCGAGTGCCACTTATTCATTCCAATTGTGAAACGATCCAAGCAATATGGCTTCCATCCAGCATCTCCCGGCGTGGCGGTTGATACCGCCAAAAGGCTGTCACCGTCATAGCCAGACGGTATTGATCGTGCAGCGCACGCTCTGAGTCTGACCGTCGAGGCACGCAAGCAAGGTTCCTTGAAGACTTGTGAGGACACGACGTTGCCAGTGAAGAGGCGTGAGCGTAGTGCACTCTCAATATGCCGCGCAGCCAAAGAGCAGGCCAATGTCGTTCCATTTTCAAAGACTCGAAGACTGTCGAGTCAAGGACCTGTCAAAACGAGTAATATCTGAATGCACTTCCTT